CTACCAGAAGTGCCTCATCTCTTTTTTCGAGTCCGAGGCACCGATCATTTTGAAGCACAATAGCCATAGAAGCCAAGAAGGATAGCTATAGGAGACATTGTGATGTAACGTCATTGCTTCAGCCGACATTTTCTGCTTTTCATTGTCGCACCCCGGCCCTGAAGCAACCACCTCGAGCTGTTCTTTTCGTGGAGTCGTCGGTCCACCGAGTCTCACGTGACAAGGACTGGGGAGCTGGGCGGGAAACTGCGGAGAGCCAGCACTTTGAGTCTTTGAGTCAGTTTCATTCAAGTCTTACTGTGCATTTCCACAGCTGCCAAGTGTGCCTTTGGGCGCAGTCAGGGCGCTCATCGCAAGGTTTGTGGAGCTGCAATCAAAACCCACATAATTGGAGGATATTGTGATATTATTGGGAATTGCCCCAGTTAGGGGTGCGGCCATTTTGAAATCTTTACCATGACTTTCTTGGTCCTCTCTTTTGGTACCATTGATTATGGCCAAAGTTTTGTCCAAGAAGCCCAGACCCCGGCCTTCTCTTCGGGAACCCGAGGGAGGTTGCACGTCAGGTTGAGCTGGGGGTAGCTGGGTGTGGGTCAAAATTAAACCACAAAAGACCGCAGGTTTAAATGCGTTTTTCCATTTGCTAGGGTTCCTTTTGCTAGGGTTCCAAAAATCGGGTCACCCGATTTTTGGGCCCACACCCAACCCGGTTGGACGCGTTGAGACCCGAAGACCCCGGCGCCAGGCGCTGCTGGGCGCGGGGCCGCACTGCTGCATCACGGCGTATCCCATCGAGCCAGCGCCTGAGGGGGGCGTTTTTCTTCTTCTTCCTGTTTTGGAGTTGGATTAATGGCAAGCCCAACAGGGGTTTATCCGGTTTGCCGTTTTGGGGTTTCTCCTGTTTTAAGACAACTCCACATATTCCAAAAGTATCACACACACACACACACACACACACACACGTCCCAAACGTATCGCATACATACTTCTAATGTCACACACACACACAGAGATGCCCCAAACGTATCTCAAGCCACCTGGAAGCGAGCTGACAGGATGGAGTTGCTGGTGCAAGCCAGGACCTACTGGAAGAAGGTGGCGACTGACAGTTAAGCTTGCAGTAGAAAGTTCATATGGGTATGGGTCAAATTGTTCAACCACCAGGGGACAGCAGGTTTAAATGCTTGTTTTCATCTACCAGGGTTTCACTTTCCGCTTCGATTTGGCTGTGATGTTACCTCCCTTGTAGGCCTTTGACGAAGCAGAAAATGAGTTCGAAACTTCGCACAAGAAGGCGCTTGTGATGACCCAGCTTTCCTCGGGACATTTGGAACAAAGTGCTGTCGGTTGCCTGCAGGTCATTGATACCGATTCCAAAGGCGGTGTTCGAACTGCAGTTCCAAAGGGATTCCCGTCGCTTGGCAGCATTGCATCGCCATCTGAAGTCAATCCGGGCTTTTGGAGACGAATGTGAAGTTTTGGGAATCGGACTGTTTCCACCCTCAGGTACATCCATGTGGACTTCAGCCTTGGAGGCGGCTTTGCCCACGTTGTTGACAACGTGGTGGACTTTCCCAAGGACTTTGTCCAACATGTCATGGCAGGAATGATTCTCAGCTGCACTTTGTGCAAATGACAATTCCTCGGCATACTGCTGCATGTCAGGTGTGAGCTGACCATATTGGACCGAGCCTACACTTGCAAAGAGGAGTGGCTTGGCCAAAGCCCAGCTTTTGCTACTAGGTTCCTTTTATAATTTAATCGGCTGCTCGACTTGTTTGTGTATGTCACTTGTGCTCGCCATGTCTAGAGGCGCAGGTGCTTTTGGTTCACGCAAGGTACAGAGATGCTTGTACAGATCTCAAAGAACGCTTCGCGAAGGATTTTGATTGGACCCAGGCAGGATTTGTTGACAAGGCCCAGCTGTATTCTGTGCAGCTTGTGATGCAGATGCAGATGATAAAACCAATAGATCGTTGTTGTTTTGGGACTTGGCCGTGTCAGTGTGACCCTCATTTCATTTGTTTTTTTGGAGTACACATGAAATCCATAGTGTGTTATGGGCAAAGCTTGCTAGTCCATGCCGCACACCTCTACAACCACCTTTGGTCAGGCATTGCAGAGCTGAAGCTGTGGTAAGGCCGCGCCTCAATCGAGCCTTTGGCGCGGCCTTAAATGCGCGCCGAAGGGGCTCTGCAAACTTGGCAAGCGCCACTCAAGCCGCGCGGAGGGAAATTGGCAGCTGATGGTGCCGAGCATGTGCCCTTTGTCTTATAGTTTCTGGGCGCTCCGCACATCCACTGTCCGCCAATGACTCGAAGAAGATGTCCTGCCGCAGCGCGCGGTTTTCGTGATACCTCCCAATGTTTCGCGGATCGAGCATCAAACAAGCTCGGGTCGCGTTGCAGGATCTCCAACAGATCGGGATCTCCATCTTCAACAGGCCGAAGACATTGCACGCCGCTCGCGGCTCGCGGCTCGCGGCTCGTCTCTCGGAGGAGCCCGGGGCACGGCATCGCCTTCCTGGTGGCCATGGGCGTCGTGCGGGACTTTCCCGTGGAGATCAACAACTTCCTGGTGAGGCACCGGAACTTCTCTTTACTCTTTTTTTTTGTTTTGGCCGAGCGGCTGTGACCAGAACAACCAGCGCTAGGAAAACAAAAAGCAGATCTGCCGGCTGTCATGGACCATGCTCGTGAGAGGCTTGCCGCAGATCCAGAGAAGATGGGCCTGGCACACAGTTTGGTGTACAGGGCTCACAGAGTTTCGGAATCAATCCCACTTTTATCTTGGCCAAAAGGTGATACCCTCCCACCAACTAACATGGAAGGGCCATTTCCAACAAACAAAGTAGTCTTTCTACCGGGGTCTGTGCACTTCCATGTTAGCTGGTGGGAGGGATTCAGTTGCACCCTTTTACAGGGGAACAAAAAAGGCAGAGGGAACCCTGGCTCGGCTGGGCGCACCCTGGGTTGAGGCGATTACCTTAGCGAGGAGTTCCCCACGGTGCGGGGCTTTGATTAACCTGGGAAGTTGGAGGGAGGTGTCAAAAACATAGCAGTCCTTTCTAGGTGAGACTGGTTAAAATAGATGGCACTGGTTTAGATGGGTTTCGTTCCATTTACCAGGGCCATGTATTTTTCCAAAAGGCCACCTATGGCTAAAAATGCTTTTTCCTCTAGGGGTACTCTCAAAAAAAGGCACATCTGAATCGCTTGCACAAAGGGGTAGACTCTTGGAATAGGATTTGACTTGGATGGCCTTCAAGGGTTCGGCACAGATCCAGGCGCAGACTTTGCGGCTAGAGCCGGCCCGGCACATTTCCAGTGTCATGTTCAGCTTCATGTAGTTGGGACAGCAAATGTCCGAAGTGAACAAACGTGCAAATGCCGAAGCACATGGGAGATTCGCGGCAAAAGAGTGGTCAGGCAAAGAGGTGAAAGTTAGATCTCTCAGCGCAGATGGACAGCAAACTCCCAAAACATGACACATCTCCCGAGAGGGGAGCCGCAAGCAACGCACAAAGACACAGCAGAGCAAACTATCGAGAAGGTTCAGGCTTCGCAAACATTGATCCCAGGTGCAGGTTGAGTGAAACGAGAACCCGGAACAGCGGAAGTCCTTTTAGCATGGCCAGTGCCACACAAGTTGTGTTGCCATGACAGGTAGATTCGGCGGCCGCGCTTTGGTTTGGATTGGCTCACTGAATGATATCGAAGTCATGCTGCCAGGTTTCTGAACTCCTTGCCGCTGTTGGGCACTGGCGCCAGGGCCCAAGTTGAGGACTAGCTGAGTTCAGGTTGCGAATTTTCAGAGTTGGACCCACCAACAGTCTTAAAGTAGTCGGAAATACATCTTCCACTTTTTCTGAAGGTTGGATGCCCCACCAAAATCTTCCACTTTTTCTGAAGGCTGGAGGCTCCGCCAAAATGGCAAAACGGTTTGGGTCGAGTTTAATTTGGTATTTTTTTTTGTTTTATTTTGGGATTTTTTTTTGTTTTCCGTCCTGGCTACTAAAATGCTGTAATTTACAGCATTTTCTCGCGAAATGTACGTATTTTACGCTAGTCCGTCAACATCATCAGCATCGTTTTCAACATCCCCCGCATGTCCAGCCAACATCCCCAGCATCACCAGCAACTTGGCTTCCCGCATCTCATGGTAAAAGTGAGGATTCAAATACGGGCAAACTAATCCCTGTAAAACACCTAAAACGTGGCGGCAGCCCCCCCCATGATGATTGAAAAAGTGACGACGGCAGCCCCCCCCATGATGATTGAAAAAGTCTAAAAAATTGCGGGGGGGTTGGGGGCGGCGGCAGCCCCCCCCATGATGATCGAAAAATTAAGGGCAAAGAATCTAAAAAGGATCGGTCGCATGATGATCGAAAAAGTGATCATTCAATTCGGGGCAAAAAGTCCAACAAATAGCGGGGGGCGGCAGCCCCCCCCATGATGATTGAAGAAGTGATGATTCAAAAAGGGACAACAAATATATTTAACAAAAGCAGCCGGGGGTCATCAGTTCCTCTGCGGCAAGGCCTCATGGTACAAGTGAGGATTCGAATACGGGCAAACTAATCCCTGTAAAACACTTAAAACGGGGGGGGGGGCAATTCCCTCCATGATGAATGAACAAGTGATGCTTCAAATAAAGGAGCGGTGGGGGTTGGGTGGGGGCGGCAGCACCCTTGATATCGAAAAAAGTGATGATTCAATCAGGGGCTAAAAAGTCTAAAAAATTGCGGGGATCCGGAAAATTAAGGGCAAAGAATCTAAAAAGGACAAAAGCTGTTCGCATGATGATCGAAAAAGTGTATGATTCAATTGGGGGAAAAAGTCCAACAAATAGCGGGGCGGCAGGCCCCATGATGATTAGAAGTGATGATTCAAAAAAGAGGCCAACAAATTAGATTTAAAAAAAGCAGCCGGGGGGGGTCATCAGTTCCTCTGCGGCAAGGCCTCATGGTACAAGTGAGGATTCAAACACGGGCAAACTAATCCCTGTAAAACACCCAAAACGTAGCGGGGGGGGGGGGCGGCAATTTCCCCCATGATGATTGAAAAAGTGATGATTCAACCAAAGGCGCGGGGGGGTTGGGGGGGGGCTGCCGCCTCCATGATGATCGAAAAAGTGATGATTCAATCAGGGGCATTTTAATCTCTAAAATTGCGGGGATCGAAAAATTAAGGGCAAAGAATCTAAAAAGGGAGCGGTCGCATGATGATGAAAAAGCATATCCCGGATGTCCTGTGAACGGGATCTTGATTCATTGCGGGAGGGGTTGTATGTTTGGGGGGCGGCAGCCCCCCCCCATGATGATCGAAAAATTAGGGGCAAAGAATCTAAAAAGTAGCGGTCGCATGATGATCGAAAAAAGTGATGATTCAATTAGGGGCAAAAAGTCCAAAAAATCGCGGGGGGGTTGGGGGGCGGCAGCCCCCCCCCCATGATGATTGAAAAAGTGATGATTCAATTAGGGCCAAAAAAAAATATATGTTAAAAATAAAACAGCAGGGGGGTCATCAGTTCCTCTGCGGCAAGGCCTCATGGTACAAGTGAGGATTCAAATACGGGCAAACTAATCCCTGTAAAACGGAAGACCCCCCCCCATGATGATTGAAAAAATAGGGGCAAAGAATCTAAAAAGTAGCTGTCGCATGATGATCGAAAAAGTGATGATTCAATTAGGCGTGCATGTTAATCGAAAGGGGGGTGGCGGGGGGCCCAGGGAGGAACTTGCGATGCTGAGGATGCAGGAAGCCAAGGCCAAAAACCAACTGGGAAAGCATCAGGATGCGAAAAGCCAAAGCCAGAAAGCCGCCAAAAGCCAAAAAGCCAAAAAGCCAAAAAGCCAAAAAGCCACCTGCCGCAGCGGAACTGGCAATGCAGAGGATGCGAAAAGAGAGGAACTGTGAATGCAGATGATGCGAAATGAAAAGCCACAAAAGCCACAAAAGCCACAAAAACCCAGGTAAAAGCCACAAAAGCCAAAAAGCCGAAAAGCCACCGACCCTGAAAAACAAAAATAATTCCTAAAAATAAACGAAAAAAATTCCTAAAAAAAATGGCCCTCCAAACGGTTTTCCTTTTGGTTCTCCTCCCAAACCCCCCAGAACAGCAGGATACCAACCAAATGTGCCATGGCCTGGTACGGATCCATGTTCCTATCGGAACCACGGCCTAGTCTTGCCCAGCGCCACTGCCGGTTCCCAGGTGATCTCGGCACTGGAGACCGTGTCCCGCGACATGACTCTGCCCAAAGACTGGCTGAAGGCCATCCACACATACCTCGTCTTTGCAGTAACGCCGGTGTTTGATGAGTAAAGGGAAGCCCAAAGAAAAAGCGAAGCCTTTTCCTTGTCTGTGCCTTTTTTTGGGGGTGGGGGTCCCCTATCAAAAACACACACACACACACACACACACACACACACACACACACACACACACACACACACACACACACACACACACACACACACACACACAC